ACTACTTTGGAGAGACGTAGGCTTATTGTTAACGTGTCGAAAGATACTCTCTTAAACTTGGTAAAAACTGCGCAGCAAATAGGTTCATTTTGGCAGGTTCAATCTTACCTGTAGCTGATGGACTATTGCTATTACCTCGAACTTGAATAAAGTTTACTCGTTCAAGTACTAGCTTCGATGCTACGAGCTTTGTACGACATACCTAGTCTGCTAACCTATGTAACAAAATAATCTTGCGTTTATCTGATGATGTATACTAGCGGTTGCCGTTCGGACGCTAATCCTCTGTGAAAGGCAATGAACGAGCTGTGATAACTTGATATGTTTACTTAGAGCATATTGACGGAAACAGCTAAGTTGCATACGTGCTACTTCTTATAAGTCACTAACTGCGTGCGAAGGCTTTTGTTTAACAAGGCGTAGGTAATGAGTAACCATAATAGCACTAGCCCTTATCCAGGGGCCTGCGGTCTAGTTAAATAATCTTATCGTTTAACTATTGACTCAATAAATAGTACTTATATTATTTTAGCTTAATTCTCTAGTATTCTATACGGACTCTTGTTGTTTCTTGGCCAGCTTTGAGCTGGATGGACTCTTTACCTTGGGTTCCATTTCGGTTCCGGTTGGCTCGACCGCTGAATAATAGTGCTAGTTACTATATGATATCCGGTATTGTATAGTACTAGCACTGTTATAGAATAGAGTTATTTACTAGTTTATATATTAGATATAATGCGGCGAATCCGTGTTACTTTAAGTATCATCAGTACCTTTTTGCAGCTTCCTCGTCATATATAAGTACATCAGGCTTTGTTAACTAAGTATCAAGGAAGGGGGGGTTAGCTCGATAGAAAATGGTGGGAAGGAAGGCGTTATATAGAGGCTAGAATTTAATACCTTAATAAATGGTTTCCTGCCCTTTAAGGAGGGGTGTAATGGGAAATTTGACTATACATTGGTTAGGATAATAACTTATAGCCCTTGGGTAAGTTATCATAACTATAAATTTTTGCGTTGATTAATTTAATGTAATCCCTTATCAAAAGGAGCTTCAAATTAATTTGTAAATATAAGAAGCAATTGCTTTATATAAATCTCCAGCTGAATTATGATAAAAAAATTTTTTTTAAAAATTACATTTGACGCGTAGGTAATTATATGAGGACCTTACAGCTTGTTTTGTCGTTTTGTATAGTTGTTATTTTTATAACATTTTAGTTTAGTTTCTATTACTACTCCAAGAAACTTTAAAAAACCAGGGAATTTCGGTGTCGAAAAAAAGCAACCCTTTGTTCGATGGTTTGGGCTGGCTTGGGCTTTTTACTTACCAATAATGATTTGGTTTCTAAAACAAAAAAGTTAAATTTACGGATATTATTTAGAGTAAACAAATAACTGACTTTTGAAGATGAAAATATTGCTATGTCCTCTGAGCGAATTTAGTGTTGAGTGTGGTGGAAAGTCAGACTTGTAAATTGAGGAGAGCATAGGAAGTAGACTTGCCCTCTGCGGTTGATTAGGATGATGCACAATATAATTTTTTATAACGTTACCAAGATGCCGGAATTCTTGTCTTCAAACTGTACAGAAACCCCAAATACTACATTCTATCAAAAGTTTTTCTAAAACTTTTGGAAAACTAACCTGGCGCTATCGTAATAAAATTATTCTCGCGGCATATTTATGTTTAATATGATTTCTTAGATCCAACTTGTTCTATTTATCTTTTATCATATAAGTAATAAAATTATTAAATTGTAAAATTAGAACAGCTTCCTAAACTTTTTCTACTGAAGAGAGCAAATTATTAGCCTGTAGTCATTTACACATTTGTGAGGGAGGAAATTTTTTAGAAAGAAGTATAAATGTAGCAAGTTTTAAAAAATCGAAAAAGGCTTTCTAAAAGCTAAATTGGTAAATTGTATCAAAACCCCTTAAACAAAGTAAATTTTGCTTTTACAAGCCAAACTCCTAGCTATTAAAGATGTTGAAGTTAATAAAGAAATATTGAGAAAATACATAAGTCCTGACTTTTTTAATTTAAGGCGATCGTTAGGCTCTTTATTTCAACGCACGAATATGGCTGCCTTTGCACGTATATAAATAAGTTATGATAACCTCGTTAAGAAGTGCTTTTTGAAGAAGAAAGTGGTAAGCATTATGATAAACTCGTTTTAACTATTTTTAAAATTCACCTAAAAAAATTGTATATCTTAAGAAGAAACTCTTACATTTTAAGACAAGGCTAAATATCTAAATTTTTTAAAACTAAAAAGGTTAGATAATAAAAGTTAAAAAAAATTGCTGCTCAAACTTACGTTGATACCTTGGTCGTAATAAATATTTTCCTAAGTGATTTTTAAAAAAATTGGGTCTTAAAGGTAACGACGCAAAATCAAAACAAAAACTTGAAAGGTTAAGCCACAACCAATATCATGATACACTTTGTAGCCCCGTAAAAGATATTAGCATAAATCTTACGGGAAAAATGTCGGCGCCTTTGTTGTATTAATAATTGCAATTAACAAATATGCAAATGGGTGGTTGATCGTTAATTGCATGTAAAATACAAGTTTTTATCCCAAATTGCCTAAACTCTAACCCCTAGGAGTGCTCGGAAAGAGCCTATAATGACCATCTTCGACAAAAAAAAGGAAATCTATAATTGTATTCTACTCTTCATTTGGGCACACCCGACAGGAATTGTAAAAGGTATGATGAGGTCATAAAATTTTTAAAGAAAATAATATCCTAAAAATAGTTTTATCTGGAGCTACTCGATACGAAAGGAGGCACGATTTTTATAATAATTTACAAATACACTTATATTGAGGCCGAGTGTCTTGCCAGAAGTTTGAACAAGAAGAAGGATGGGTAACACTGATGACGCTTCTAAACAGGTAGAGTACACGACCCGAGACAGATACTCGTCTCTACCTTGGAATCCTTCTCCAGGGGGGGATCCCCATTAGCAACCTCAGATTTTGCTACCCACGGGAACTCGCAGGAAATAAAAGCATCGGTAGACGAGGCCCGGTCTTGTTCGGACGCTTTTCGATAGTGACCTAGGGGCGTTGTGATGAATATTATTCACTGAAGAGTGTGCTAAACTATCACGAGCTCCTAAAGTTATGAACCATCAGCACACTCTACGCTGAATGGAGCACCTACACAGCTGATTTATGACGTACCTAACTTTAAATCTTGACCGAATAATAGCCTAGATCGCTGTGATTGCAACGATAGTCAAGTAGCATGCCCGCATTAAGGTAAGATAAGATATATAAAGGGAGCGCTCAGGACATGCTCGATGACCAAGATTACTTCCATTTTGTAAGATAATTACTAATTTCTTCCTATTATATTTTGAAATAGGTTGTTCATCTTGGTTTATAAATCTAGCACAGGGGATTAAAAGATAATACAAAGATATTTGAAACTTTACTTACTCGCCCTTCTAGGAAGAAAGTTCTACTTTAGTAGAACAAAATAACGAACTAAAAATTTAGGAATGGTAGCCCAGTAAAATGTTCTACTAAAGTAAAAAGAAAAAAAATGAAAGTTGGTATTCTATCCCTTTCACGGTCGCTCCTGGGAACCTAGTGGTTTACCACTTGTCAGTTTTCCAGGACCTCGCCGTAGGGGAGGAGTAACCTATTTTCGTATTGTAAACTCATTTTTTCTATTAGGAGCTTTTATACAAATTTACTATACGTACGGAGAAGCACTTGCTTCCTTTAAATGAGCAGTTTCTGAATATCTTGTATTGACTGATGATATTAGTAATCTACTTAGAATGGTTTTTAACTCAAGTTTTGTAGACCTTATCCTTTATATACTATATTCTGTTAGTGTGAGTGAGCTAAATTTGACTACAATTTTATTAGACAACAACGTTTTTCTAGTTATTTCTGCATATGTACACTCCACGTCATCAGTTTATAAGGAAACTGAACTGGCTATGAAAGATTTTAGCAGAGAACTAAATCTCTTTACAACAAGTTTTAATAAAGTCAGCACCATATTTTCCTGAAATTCAATATATGACAGTAATAAAGCTACCGAAGCGATGTCACGATCTGGTCAGAAACAGAGGGATGCTCGTTCAAATAGTTTTTTTATAAATATCTTTTTTTTAAGAAAAACTTATTAGAAATTAGAAAAACTTCACAATTTTTTTATGGTTTATGGGTTTTGGTAACAATAAATTACAGTCTTAAGGCTTAATAGAGAGCAGTTATTAAAATTTTCTATTTTTGCTATTTAAAGAAGCGTCAAATAAGTAAATTTGACGTAAGATTTTTTTGTAGGGAGACTTAAGATTACCGAAAAATGAAAAAGGATGCTTCAACAGCGACACTTTTTTGGAATTAGAGGGGAGTAGCAATAGAAAAAATGGGTGAGCTTCTGTGAGAACTTCACGAAAACGAATAGGAATCCTCTAGAGAAAGTTCAAGGTGTCTCCACAACAAGTTTACGCGATGGAGCTCTATAAACTTACTAAAAAGTTTGTAGGTAAGTACTTTTTACACTAGAAGGCTAGGAGGTTTTGGGGGCCGACTTCCATCATTACATAAATATACGCCGCAACTGACAGCGAGTTTGGGGTGGTTGTGAAGCTGTGCTTAGTACTGCCTGTTAAGGGCTACGGGTAAGAAAAAAACCTGCGACACCGTAAGTCGTGCCTAAAGTGGCTTAAAAAATTTAAAATTTTTGTCTTTGACAAGATAAAAGGGTTCATATCAAAATAATTATCTATAAACTTATTATTTAAATACTTTGCATAGCTTACGCCAATTTTTTTTTTCAAAAATTATGGTTTTTAATTTTTTTAGTACGGTTGGTAAACCTCGCAGTCATGGAGGTACGTTACTACGGCGTTTCCCACATTAATCTAGAGTTAATTTAGGTGTGTTCAGGTTTCCTGGTCACAACATATTTTACTAATACTGCTGTAAGTCATTGTATATGCCCTCCTCCAGACTTGCTTTATTTAGTTGCAGTGTTATCTAATTGAGTTGACTTAAGAACATATTACTTCTCTTATATAAACTCGAGAAAGTTTTAGTTTGAATGGAGGCAAAGAAGTTAGTGCCTGAAGAGGCAAATGAAGGTTATATTAACAAAGAAGACGTGAGTAAAAATATGGAAGACAGGGTTGTAGAAGTGGATAATGAAGAAGTAGAAGAAGAGAGCGATGGTAGCTTTGAAGAGGATGAGTACGATGAAGAAAGCACTGATGAAGATACAGAATATTCTCGACGTAAAAAATCTAGGTTTCTTATAAGCTCTTGTCTATAACTATTTTCAACCTTGTGTTAAATCATTTATTTGCGACTTTTAGTTATCTAAATTATTTTGAAGATGCGGCGTCAGAAGGAGAAGAAGATGAAGAATTAGAAGAGGAGGAAGAAGCAGAAGCTGGTTTTTCATATCTATATTGTTCTTAAAATTTTTTTTAATTTTTTTTCAAGGTTTTGAAAAAGTTAGGAAAGAGTTGGCTAGCCAGCCCCCTAGAAAAGGTCGCTTTCGTGACTTTTTGGCTGACGAGGTTCGGCGTTCTTATAATAATTACTATTTTAATTGTTATCATTATGATTTTGGCAAGAACCTTGAGAAACGTTACTCAGAACTGGATGTCGAGATTCCTGTTGACGAAGAAAGTATTGGCCCTGCTAGCCGTGAGTTACAGCAACAAACTCTTATTCCTTCCATTACCGATCCAAAGTTGTGGATGGTCCGTTGCAGGGTACTCTTTCTTTTTCCTGTATATTAAATTTTTTAGCTTCTTTATATGGTGACATCTGGTAAAAAACGAAAGAAAAAGTTTCTTTATTGTAGTTTGCTGTTTTCTGTCCCGCATAAAGTTTTATATAAAAATTACCAGAAGAAATAACTTTATAGCCAAGAAAGTTCTAGTTTGTAAAATTTATTTTGTGGTTTATCTTTTCTATTTGCGAAAATGTTTACTTGTCTTCAACTGTAGCCTGGACACGAAAGACAATCAGTCGTTGCACTAATGCGGAAGTACATCGACCTTGAATTTTCTGAGAGGCCTTTGCAGATTAAGAGTTGCTTTGCGGTGGACAACCTGAAAGGTTTTATATACGTCGAGGCACACAAAGACGCACACGTTAAAGCGGTCAGATTTTTTTTCCAACGCCTTTTCGCACAACTTTTATTCATTGGTTAAGCTCGCCAGGCTGTTGAAGGCATGGCAGCGCTCCAGTTTGGTCAATGGAAGCAAACGTTAGTGCCGCTGGAGCAAATGACGGATGTACAGCAACTGCCTGCATATTTTTTAATGCTGTTCTTGACTGATCGTAAAAGGTGCTGACCTGCTTAACGAAGTCGGAATCTGTCCTTCCGGGGACTTGGGCGAGGCTGAAGCGGTCTCTGTACAAAGACGACTTGGCTCAGATCCTTGCTTTTGACGAAAACAATGCCAAATGCATCATCAAGCTCGTTCCCCGCCTGGAAACAGGCAATACTAATGTAGTGCTTTTGTACATTCTTGCACGTTCATTTTCACGGAGCACTACTCTAACCGTGACAGGATCCATCTTCGAAGAGGACGAGGTCCAGACCCCCGCCGAGACTCTTCGACCCAGAGGAGCACGCGTACGTTGTCAGTAGGGCTCTTTTCTCTTCAGCTTTGCGTTATCTTTTTAAGGCGAGGAGGACTTCAAAAGAAGCGGGTGTTGGATTTCTACTGCACTGTCTGTGACAACCAAAAGTTCGATCCCGACGGTTACCTTATCAAAACTGTGGATCTTAGGGCCCTCGTACTACTCGCACCTTCTCCTTCATACGCTCTTAATTACTATCCCTGGAAAGGTGACGGAAGGCGTGCAGCCAACCATTGAAGAAATGCGCAGCTTTTCATTTGGCGACAACGACGAAATAACTGGGTTGACCCGTCGTCAGTTTATGATGTTTAAAAAGGGCGACCGGGTGAAAGTTGTTGAAGGTTTCATTATTATCCGCTTCCTCAGCTTGTTGTTCCTCTTTATCACCAGTCTTAAGGCGATCTGAGGGGCCTGCTAGGTGTGGTCGAGTCCGTTGACGGGAGCACTGCCTATGTGAGGCCGAGGCTGGAGTCCCTGAAGGTCTGGTAGACCCGCCTCGTTGGGTCCGGGATCTTCCCCATCCACGTCTTGTCCGACTTACAGGGTTTAATCCCGATCCCGTGCGACCAAATGCGAAAGCACTTCGAACAGGGCGACCACGTCAAGGTCGTGGCAGGGGTCCATAAGGGTACACTTCCAACCCGCCTTCAGTTTGCGTGAGAGTGAATTTTGCCCGTTGGCAGGAGAAACCGGCCTCGTCACCAGTGTCGCTGATCACGTCGTCCATGTAATTGGCGACCACTCCAACGAGGAGGTCTGCTCCCCGTTGCGCTCTTCTTTTTTTTACTGCTCAACTCATTTTATGTTTTAGTTTGAAGTTTTTCCTCGCGACATCAGCCTGTCGCGGGACATTTCCAGCGGTATGCGCCAGAGTGGCTTGTTCAAAGTGCATGATTTGGTAGATATCGAGTTCGTTTTTAACTGCTTCCTTTTTTTATTGCAAATTACTAACTTTTACTGGTCAGCACTCACAATGTTGGTGTTATTCTAAAGGCTGAAAAAGACATTTCTGCTATACTTACCCAAAACGGCGAAGTCCGCAAAGTTCCTGTGAAAGAAGTTTTTTTTATATATTTTTTTGGTAGTCTACTATATTTATTCTGTGTTTGGTTTTTAGATTACAACTAAACGAAAGTTTAGAAATCCTAAAGCGCTGGACGCGCAGAGGAATGAGTTGCAGTTAGAAGACCCCGTTAAAGTTATTGAGGGTCCTCACAAGGTCCGTGCACCTGGGCACTTGTGCTCCTTGTGGCTTTAAGCGTGGCTTTGTGACTCAGAACAAACAAGGGACGTTGAAACACATCTACAGAGGCGCCTGTTTCCTTTACTCCCGCGATATTCTGGAGAACAGGTACGTGCCCGCGACTGCCCCGCATCTGTCTTGCCTCGCGTTTATTACTTTAAAAGTGGTATGTTTGTCGCCCGGAACCACCAAGTCCTTCTGGTTGGAGCCAAAAAGAAGTCCACCGGCCACGTTTGGACCGTTATTTCTTGTGCACTGCTCCGTTCTAATTTGCCTTTTTTTCGAATAGAATTTTGAAGGATGGGGCTTCCCGCACGGGAGCAGTCGCTGTAAGTGGCTCGAGTCTGTTTGTTTATGCATCAGCTATTGATTTCTATTTCCACTAAGCTTTTAATGGCCATCGCAACGCCATATCTTCTTCGTGGCGGGGTCCTGATCCTTTGCGCAATGCGAAAGTTCTCGTTACGCGCGGCACCCACAAAGGGATTCACGGTATTGTGAAGGACTGTACCGACAACACTGCGCGGGTGGAACTGAGCTCGACTTCGTTGATGATTACTATCAACCGCCAGCATCTCTGCGTTCTGGAGTATAATTCTTATTTACTTGGGGAGGAAATGAACTTTTCAGGGTGTTGCTTTAGTAAATCCGGAAATATCATCCAAAGCAACCCCAAGGCGGATGCTGCTTCCATCCCTCCGCACACTGCGCGCTACAGCGACTTTGGCAGCGACTTCTCTTTATTCAACAGTTCTTATTCGGACGTATCGTTCGGTATTCTGTTTGTATGCTCAAATTGATAGTACACACTTTATACACATTTTCCAAATTTTTTCAATAAAAGCTTCCCAGACGCCAGCTTACGGTCAGCAGACGCCTCTTCACGATAGTGAAGGAGTACTTTTAAATTTTTTTACAACTAGTTTTTTTTTTCAATAACGATTTTTTGTCTAACGAACAGGCGGGCTACTCCAGCGCGTGGGACCCTCTAAACACCAACACTCCTCTCCAGCCTTCCACTCCCGGACTTACCGATTTGGGCGATTCCTACACCCCTCAGACCGTCAAAAGTTTGCTATAATATGCTTCACCGCTTCGTCTTCCGCTCAATCGTTGGTGTTGGCGCAGACAACTTCAGCAGCGACACTCCTCTGGGACCCCCGTCGACAGGGAATCCGCCCTCCACGCCTGGCTGTCCGGAATCTTCGCTCGCTTCCTATGACGTGTAACTTCTGGTTTTTGCCACCTCCTCTTCGCTTGCTAGTCTAATACAAACCACTATTCGATCGTGAGGCCCACGCCGGGATACCTCCCGCACACACCGGGAGCCTACGCTTCCAATCTCCCTAAAGACTATACCTTTTCCACGCCGCTTTCTTTTGGCGTTTCGACACCAGGTAGCTCGGCTCTCCTCGTTGACTTCTTATTTTCTTAGTGTCCAATAAATAGCAAATTATGAGCCGACTTTTGGCCCGGAATCTTCCGGTTTTTTTACCTTTTCTCTTTACTATATTTGTAGCCCGCAATAAACTTTTTTGTTTACCCTGAAGAATTTCCTCGCACTCCCAGTTCAGTACTTACCCCCACCAGCGATACTTCTCGGTCAAGTTGGTTGCACCCTGATATTGTGGTTACTATTGGGATCGGCCCGTTCAAGGGCAAAAGGGGATCTGTACGTTCAGTCCACGAGAACAGGACTGCGTGCTCTGTTTCTCTCGACAGTACTCCACTTTGATAGCATGTTCACCGCTTTTACTAAAAACCCCGCTACACAAGCGGCAGGAGAGTTCCTTGAATTTAAAATTCAAGAGCTCGAGCCGGTGCGGCCAAAGCAGAAGGAAAAGGTTTTTTTTTAAGTTAAAAAGTATTTAAAAAAACTTTACCAATCTTTACTAGATGGTAATACTCGAAGGGGAACTTTCCGGGCTGGCCGGCGAAGTTTTACTCATCGACACGCAAACACGAGAATGTATTGTTAAACTCACTAATGGTAGCGCTTATGGAAATAATGAAGTGCTCTTTTGGTCAAAAATTAATTTAACTTTGAACTTTTTATAGGACTTGAACGTGACATCCTTTTAGATTGCTTGGCCCTCAGGGCCTAGCTAAGCATCTTGTTCAATATAATAAATTTATATCCTATAGCTCTCGCTTAATTATTTTACAAACTGGAAATTTATTTTTGCTTTTTTTGTGGGCATAAGCCGCTGAACTTTTTTGATTAAACATTAAATTTTCAAAACGTCCAAATTCAGCCGCTCTTTTTGTAACTTGTTAGTTCTTTTAGCTGTATTTGAAAAGTCATTGGCCACATAATTAATTTTAAAGCGGTTTCATGGGAAGACAGAGAGAAACTGGGATCCAGAGTTTCGACCTACGTTTCATATAAAAGCTTAAATAGCGGGAAAGCGTACGCTGTACAAAGCATGACAATTATAAATCGTTTTTGACTAATAGCATAGTTAAAAGCGCTTTCGAATCGCTCATATTCGCTACGAAAAGGTTTATAATGATTTTATTTTAAAAAGCATCGATAGATCAGTAGTTTAGTACTCTTTTAATAACACCGGCTTCTTGACGTGTAGAGTTGAAAGCTTCCCTCTCCTGTTAAGCCTACTGCTAAACAGCGCTATAGAGTAATTAGTATTTTCGCGGAACAAGACTAAACTTTTATTGATAAAAGGTGTAAGAAATTGTTTTCGCGAAAATAAATTTTGATTTAGAATTATTTTTTCATGTTATAGTTTAATATAGTGCTGTATAACTTAGTGATTATTATATAAATAGTAACCGGAAGTTACGAAATTATAAGTTAATATTTTTTAGTAAATATTCAATGTGTAGTAGAGATTTTGTTATTAAAAACAGCATAAACACAATATAAATTTGCGGTATAAGCCAACAAGGAAGACCGCATCCGCCGAACTTTTTATCACCTTAAGAATTCAGTTAAATGCGCGCAGTTATACTTTGCAATCCTTATCGCGCACCTCTCAAGCACAATTAATCAAGTAAAGATTTTATTTCGTTCCGTACAGAAGTGTGCCGCGGAAAATTTCAATGCCAAAAAGTCAGCGAAGGGCCTTTTTTTAACGCCTTATCAATATTAAACTAATCTTGGAGCATCACCACATAATCACGGGCTGAGTAACCGAACTTTAGCACATCCTTTTCTTTAAGTTCATAGAAGCGCCTGCATAGAACAAATTTTTAAATATTTTTTCTTATGATTATCAAGAAGAGAGAGAACCTTGGTTCTATTTTTTCCCCGTTAATCATTGTCCCGTTGGCACTGTCTAAGTCAATCAGATAGGGTCTAACAGGCGTAGCAATAGCCACAAGCCAATTTAGAATATCCTCCTGAAAGGCAGTGCAAAAAGTACAACTTGACAGCAGCGGAATAGGAACCGTCCGGCTTAACGGCTCGATTCAAGCGGTACTGGATTGCCGCGTGCTGCCCGGAACAAGAGGGATGGTCCAACGGTATATCCGCAACCTAAATTTGCTCAATCGTAAAATTGTTCGAGAAAATTATTAAAAATTTAAAGCAAAAAAGTACCCTCCTTTCCCTTCCCATGAGAAAAACACTTTGACGGTGTATATGAAGAATGTCTACAAACACAAAGCACAAATCATAATATTATTAATTATAAATCTATATTTTAAATAAAAATAAAGGAAAATTAGAATATAAAAGTTAATATAGAGAAATTAATGGATGTATTGTATATATACTAAATTAACGCAATGTGTGATCCTTATAATTTTTAAAAATATATATATTAAATAGGTAACTTATATATAGGTCTTTAAAAAAATGCAAAGTGATTACTAATATATGCTTAAACATTAATAATACTCAGATTTTGGTCTCCTTTAAAAACATAAAGTCTCCAGCGCTTTGAAGGCATCCGAGCCTCCTCTGGTTCAGAATATTTAAGGACGATTCCCTGAAATCCAACATTAATTAATAATATAAATATGACAGCATCAAAAAAGCTAAATATATTAAAATAGTTTAGTTATGAAGAAACACGGCAAAGTGATTACACGGTAAGTGTTGGTTTCTTGAGTTAGCGCACCAGATAATTCAAAATTAGGCTTCTTTTTCTCTGAAGGTTCAAGTATTTGTGAACTAGAAATTAATAAAAAGTGGTAAATTTTTTGTTTATTTCCCTTTTATTAAAGATATAACAATATATAAAATTTATAAAAGACACTAATTACGCAGATTGAGCTTTAGAGTTGTTTTCCTGGGGAAATTCATTTTTTGCCCCTTTTATGATAACAACAAATTTATTAAATTTACATTTAAAGTTAAGTTTTTAGCGACAATCATAAAATTTTATATATAACACAAGAGAAAGAAGGTACAAGTGAACGAATTTTTTCTTTAATACGAAATCAAGAGTAATAAATAGATATCCCACGCTTTAAAGGCGGACTTAAGGTACTAGTATTTGTTTTTTCAACTGTAGCCGAGTGACACGTTTCTTTTCCGTTCTTTATGTTACTGCTCTTTCTGTTAGGACTTCTATTTTTAACTGTATGTCCACGTTTATAAGTATGATATTTGTCGCTCTCTACTTTTGAAGATTTCACTCTGTTCTTTCTGCCGGTTGAGGCCCCATCGTTATTTTGAGTATCTTTGGAGGGAGCGTGAGAGTGTTCAGATTTATGATATGAACGAGCTGAGCTAGTAGGGCTATTTAATTCGTATGATCTATCTTTCTTATGTAAAGAACTAGGAGAAAAGGAACAATAGCGAGATGACCTTTTACTTTTTTTACTTGCCTTTGTTTTATCTTCTTTTTTAATTTCTTTGTTAACTTTATCAAGGTTAGTGTCTTCGGTCATCCCTGATTAGTTATTTGAGTTAACCACTCATAAGCTGGTTGCCTATGCTTCTGTGTACTAAAGACTTTTATTATAAATTCGTAAAAGTTGGAGACCTCGAGTTCTTGTATAACGTACTAACAACTTAAGCTAAATCTCTATAGCCCGCAAAATGTGAAGTGGACCTGGTAACGAGGGCTTTTCTTAGCCATAGTGAGCTCAAGTTCTGACGGGGGGGAGTATCCGCTCTCTCGCAAACAATATTCTTTTATGTATCTACATAATTCATAATGACTTTCCGACTTCCTCCCGAATCAAAAAGTCGCTTGGCTAATAAAAATTTTGAACATCCGGCCACCAAAGGAAAACTTCAGTCACCTTTCGCTGTTCACAATGAGGAAGGTCAGGTTATAATTTTATTTCACTAATTTACTATTGCAAAAGAAAACAACTTTTAAAACTGTTAAGAGTTAATTATAATTGTTTTAAAATCTTCTTAGTTTAATAATTAAAATTATAGAAATATCTCCTTCCTTTTATATTATAACCTGACCTACACTTAAACATAACCTATCTTTGCTTTCCACTGTATTGTACAATGCTGGCTTTCGTTAAAAAATTTAAATAATTTAAACAAATTAAACTTATTATTTTTATTTAAAAATTTGTCTACAACTTATCGCGTAGTGACTCCATCTGATCTTAGCCTTATAATAATTATTAAGGCAAACTTTTCTGCAAACTGTGCGACGTACCCCTTAAAAATGAGACTGTCTGGAATGCTCATCTCCGAGGAAAAACCCATAAAAATAATTTAGAAACTTTTTATAAGAGTTCTGAGCCCTCTGAGAAGGCTCTCGACCACAACTTTGGAAAGAAAACCGATGAGTACCCTACGACCCATTTAGCTAAAAGAGTAAAAAGTGATATAGAAAAAGATGAAAACAACCTTCCAAGAAATTTTTTTAACAACACTATAGAAGAGAATAGTGATAACAAATCAAGTATTCCTGAAGCACTCGATGAAAATAATTCTATCAGTAGTAATCTAACGGATTTTCTCGATCCTGAGGACTACAAAGAACTTGAAAAAGGTAAAACCACGGATTGATTCTTCTGCTTTTCTCACTTCTAAGTCTTTTTAGGAAAATTACCAAAGGGATTCTTTGACACGTCCGTAAAAGCTCCCAAAAAACCAGCAAAAGTTAAGGGGTCAAGTATAGATGACGAAGTAGAAAGGTTTCCTTAACACGGCAGGCGTTTTAAATTTTGAAACTAAAAAATCTTTGCGTGTTTATAAAACTTTGAACAGCACTTGCTGTATTACAAAGCTTTAGTAAAAAAAAATTTGTTATAATTTTATAATTATAAAAAGGCAGTTTTAAAAATAAATTTATTTTGTAAAATTTTAATAAAACTTTTAAAAAAAATTTCTTATATTGATATAAATATAATTTTTTTATATTTATACATTTTGTGATACTTTGAAATTGAATAGCTTCGATAAAGAAATAGAAAGCATGGAAAAACAAGCTTTAGAAGACATTGAAAAAGAAGAAACGAAATTGACTATCGACCGCATCGACGAGGAATTGAGAATCCAAATGTTTTCTTAAACAATAATTATAATTAATAAGTTTTCTAACTTTTTGCTAAAAAGGACTTGTTTATCACGTGTGGAGGAAATTGCTCATCTACAGAAGATGAGGAAAGAAAAGTTAAACGCCCGGCAAGAAAAATTAGCTTCGCCTGTAGACTTCAAAAAGCTTCCCTCTGCCACTTTCGAAGATGAAACTGAGAGGGAAAGTAATTACTCGGACGATCTCAACTGGCGCTCAAAAGAAATATAAAACCAAATACTTTTTTATTATTAATAAAACGCTATATTTTGTTATTTACTGCCATGTTAAAGCGTTCCAGCAAAAATGAGTTAAAAGAATTGTAGCTATACTTGCTTAATGTACCACATGATTCGTAGCTGTTCTCGAAATAACTTTTATCTAAAAGATAAAGTCCATTACACCAGCAAAACAGAATTGATGCAGCCGTCGTTTTCAGGATTGTTAGTAACCTGCGCATATTTCCCCCAAACCACCTTCCCGGTGGTGGTGACCAGACCCAACTCGCTCACGTTGACCTCGATAATCGTTCCTTTGGTTATGACCCCAAGCGAAGTGTACAGAGTTGAGTTTGGATTCTTCTTAACGCCTATAATCGATAGCTGGAAGGTCGCCTTCAGCTCCGGATGAGTCACATGCGCCTTCGTAAAGCGCAGACCGGCAGGACGTATAAAGCGTTCGTATTTCGGTGGCTTGCGGGTAAAACCGTCACCAACAAAAGTAACTTTGGTAATCATACGCTTCCATGCTTTCTCTAATTTAAGGAATGTGTATTATTATCTAAAGAGTAGTATATCGTTACTAATTTAAAAAAGTTAAATACTTTGTCTTTTGCCCGTTTTGACGACTTTAAAAACTTCATTTTCAGCAATACCCTTAACTTTTGGCAATGGAACGTTCCACTTTCCTGCTTTTTCTTTACGTTTTTGTTTAATAGTATTACTAAGAACCTCAAAAAATATATATCAAAATTAATAAATAAAAATATTAATTGAACACAAAACTACTTTAGCTCTGTTCTGAGTTTCCCTATCCAAAAGATAAGCAGGAACGGCTCCTATAGAAATACAGAAGTTAGGTAGAAAATAATCTATAAAAAAAAAACTGCCTTCTTGTGCTTGTTTATCGCTTCCTATTTTTATTTCTTTTTCTTCATGTGCTTTTATGAATTTTTTCATTTGAATTTTTTCACAGTGCCTGGCTTTATTCAAAAGTTTGGCCTAAAAAAAATTTTAATAAAAATTGTGGGTAACCTTATAATATATATTTTTTAAAACAGCGTTTAGTACCTTTAAGCCATGAAGTCTCTGTGCTACTTTCGAACGCTTATGCACCTCACGAGCTTCTTTCTTACGCCTAAAAGTACGTTGCATTAATATATTTATAGTAAGCTGTGAACTAACTTTATAAAAAACAAGTTTTTGAAAAATAAAGTGACAATAAACTTACTTCCTTTCATAGTAATCTAAACGTCTTCCATGAATTTTTTGAAAGCGTTCTATATGCTCATTTTGTGGCTAAAATAATATATATTAAGACTTTCACTATAAATGCGTAATAACACCTAATTTTTAATATTTTCTTTTTCAAAAATTACGACAGCCGTACCATTTTCTTTTCTATCAAACAAACAAAGCCGGTGGAAGATCTATAAAGCTTGCTTGCTAACTATTTTTCCAAAATGAATCAGAACGGGAGAGGGCTACCCAACTTCGTCACGTGGAAGACGCATGCTTTAGATTAAAAAATTTGCCAAATAAATTCACGTGCGGAGGATAATACCTCTATAAAATAATTTTTTCACCGTCGGGAGGTCGAAACTGTTCTATTCCTACTTCTTTCCCGTTTTTCTGCGTTGATACCCCCGAGGTTTGGAGGCGTTGTTGCCGTGGTTGTTGAGCGGTATCCGCGTTCATCACATTTCTAGAGCTATATTGTCTTAAAAGTTATGAAAAGTAACTGATTATTACTTTGCACATAGAGTTTTTAAATGACGATGACTGAAGCTGTTCCCCAGAGAGCCGCCCGTTCGCGGTGTAAGTTATTTTTTACTTAGTCTATTTATAATTGTTTCAGGTGCTTATTCACGCAATATATTAGTTTCTCGAGCACCCCGTTCTTGTTTCCGATGTGGGAGGCCTGGCCATTTCCTGCAGGAATGTCCCCGGCAAGACAAAGTTTGCTTCAACTGCGATCAAGAAGGTTATATGTTTAACTCATGTTTTTATGTTATTTATTTGTATAAATATATTTGAATCTAGGCCATTTGTCTTCTGATTGTAAGAATGAACCCATTTGTTTAAGGTGCTCTGAGAAAGGGCATAACAAGTCCGCTTGTCCTAACTTCCGCAAGTTTCCTCTTTGCTACATTTGCAAAGGTTAGTTTATTATTAGAGTTATTTTTATTGGAACTATTTATTGATAAATAATTTTCCCAGTTTACGGTCATCTTTCTTACGATTGTCCTAAGCACGGCAAGTCTCAATTTTTCCCGAAAGAAAAGAAATCTCGCGCTTATAGGAGAATCCCAAGTTTGCCAAACTATTAGCTTTGACTTAAATCTTAATAAATTACTGTCCCAGGAATCGATTCCGAGACCGCGGACGTCAAGGGAGCTGTTGGTGGAAATAGTAACTACGGCAGTAAGCCCTCCCAAAGAGTTTATGTCCGCAGAGAAAGGAAGCCTCGTGGACCTGTCCGCTGCTATAAATGCCAAGGTGAAGGGCATTTCGCTCGGGAATGTACCGAAAAATCCGTGGAAAATTAAGATATAATAAAGAATAGTTTGTAAAAGAAAAAAAGTTTGTCTTTTTATTTTTTTGGTTAAAGATAAGAGTTTGACTTCGTGTAGATCTTTGCTAAGTTTTCGAGTGAACGTTTGTTAAGACGTGGAGTAATCGGTGGGACGTATCTAACATCTGAATTAGAAAGTAGTTTCCTTTCCAATTAACTATGCTAGGTATTAATGTCATGCATAAAGAAACATTACTGTTTTGTATACTGTCTCTGAATCATCAAGCGCTTTATTACACTCAGCCAGCTTAGATTTTTTTTTTGCAATATCCTCTTTAAGGCATTCTTCCTCTTCTATTTTAATAATAGAGGCAATAAAAAACAACAGTTATTGATTTAGTAATAAGAAAATGGTTAGAGAAAAAACGCAATAGTTAGTATATTGGAGAAAATGCCTTTGCAATAAAAATAGTTAAACTTACGGACACGACTCAATAAATCGTAATTTTTTATTTTAAGTACTAATAGAACATTGATATTACTTTGATATATTTAAAGAGTTATTAATAACTTTTTAGTTGATTGATGCGTTCTTGAACTTCGGTTAAAGCCTTTTTATCCTTTATTATATCTTTTTCTAAAGCTTTTGAGGCATTTCTGAGTTTCTCTACGCCTATTCAATAGACACATTCGAAATTTATAACCAAATTTTTTAAATAATTTATATAAGTGAATTTAGAGAAACTAACAATTGACGAGCTCATTATTATATCTTTGAAGCTGAGCTGCATGCTCCGACATGCCCTTGTTTACATATAAAAAAAACCGAAATGCAAGATCGATGCATGGATAACCAACACTGGAAGACCAGCAGTGGCACGAGACCTAAAAAATCAGTAACAGTCTGGTGGTCGGCACGTGACTGCGTTCTCCATTTTTTAGGACTGTTTTTCTTACCGCTTGCGAGCGTATTGATGGCGTTAGAAAAGAAAGGCACAAGGTTTGCTTATTCTCTAAGCAGTTTAAGATAACCAACAATAAGTTAATTAGTGCGATCCTTTTGGGGCCGTAGCTTCGCTGTAAAAGAGACTTTGCGTAGGTTAGCATCCCAGGTTAACTTAATTTTTTATAATTATATGGCGCCTATTACAAAATAAGGCAGAAAATATTATTTCTTAGCTTTTTTAAGAAATTTAAACTAGTGGTTTCCTTATTCTATACAAACAGTTATAAATTTAAAGTAACGTTTACTTTAGCGCGTGGAAGTTATATTCTTCTTATAAGTTTTATTAAGAAAAGGCTTAAATTATGTAGGTTTGCCTTGTTTATAGCTTATTATCTATGATGATCTTGTCAAAGTCTATAACTTTTAAAACTGAACTTGTGTGTAAAGTTGAATATTGATAAACCAGTGTATTACTTTAAGAATCGCTTGTCACATAAAATTGTAAAGAAATATTTAAAGTAAAAAACGCATTCTGAAAGATTTAGTTTTTTCATAAAAAAATTGATAACTAACTTTTAGGTGCAGTAAAAACATGTTCTTTAATCAATATGATAAATTTAAAGTTATTTGCATCCACCTTAATGTAACTTCATACAATTTTTATATATTTATTTGTTACTCTCACTCTGGCCTTGGTGGTTACATAAAACAATAAAAAATATAAAATAAATGCATCTAAAACGAAAGTTATTAAAAAATTATTATAAATATAAAAAATAATTGTAATTATAGTAATAATGAAAACTATAAAACGCAAAATAAATTTTGGTAGGCCTTGAATTCTGTGTGGGTTTACTAGTTATTTTGCAATAAATTTATTTATATTTATATTGCAATTGCACAGTTTCGCACTTTAAACGAGGTGCCTTAATGCATAATAAGAAAAACTAAGTGTCTTTTTATTGAAGAATAAACCTATGGGAAAGCAAATTTAATCCTAATGTCATTTTAAATAAGCAACTCGGTTGTAATTTTTTTTTTTTTTAAAGCTTCCTCCACGAGTACGGTTGTTTTGTCTTTCTTAGTCAATCTCTCCTTCCCCGTAGATCTTACGATTATCTATAGCGCTGTATGAAAAAAAAAGTAATAGAAATAGAACAGATTTACAGGACTACCGCACTCTCTCTTTCGAAAATTAAATCTGTCCTTAGAGTGAGCATTACAGACATATACCTTGGCCTCAGGTAAACTTCCTAACTCGGTCCCTCCTATACATGGCCCTAGTGAACGTTCACAATCTAAAGATCCTTTGTAGTTTATCCCCTGATACTCATTGGTGTAATAATTACTAGAAAATATGGGAAAGACCTGGCTTTTAAAATAAAGTTAAATTTTAACTATTCTCTCTTGATGGATATTTATATCTACCCTCTAACATTGGCCTATGTGATCGCATCTATGACATCTTATATAATTTAGTAACGTGCTCTGAAAACCTCAAATGCTGTTTAGTGGTTAAACGGCCTATAAAGACCGAACTATGTACAGATTTTTCCTATTGGAATTCAGCTATCTTTTTAATAAAAGTCTTCTAATACTTTTACAGCGAAAAAGAGGCGTAAAGAGAGCGCTAAAATTTTGACCAAGCAGCTAAGAACGGTTTTGGGGTCATGATAACGTGTGAAAGTTTTTAGCGTTCAGATAATATTGAAAGAAAACGGTCTATCTTTAATATAACAGTGTAGATATACGCGTTAAATGAAAGGTGTCTTAACATCAAATTAACTAGTAGACAGTATATTAATCACTTTAAGAACTTCAGTTAAGTAGTAAGTCTTGAAGAGGATTGGAGTGAGAACTCGGATAATACCGATAGGCGTTCATTAAATAATAAAAGGGGCTTTTGGGAAATTGTTTCCGTTTTTTAAGTCTTTGTCATAACGAAAAAAAAGCTTTTTAAGGCTTCTGAAAAACTTGCCCTCTCTCATTAAAAAAACATAAAAATACAAATTTTATTCGCTTGTTATAAGCTCGTTTCCACGGGCAGACCTTGAGATTATGTATCTTTTCTATAACGTTTTTCCTGACAATAATGTTTCTATCGTTGGATAATGCAAGAGATGAAGAAAGCAGTGTAAGGAATTATGACTTTTTAAGCACACCACTGTACCGTTAAGGGAGCTTGATAAGAAAGTTAGCTGTAATTAAAGGTTGTCCTTATTAAGTTGGATCAACTTGTTACTATCTTGTCCACCCCTGAATTAGTGAGGGCTATCTTTCAAGCACGATAAGAACAGGTTTATGATCAGAAAGGAATCCGAGATTGGTGGTATAGTCACATAGGAACATACATTCTTAAAAGGCAATGTCAAAAATGTCAACTATGTAATGTGTGGAATGAAACATCTCATTTGGGTTTGTAGGATTGCTATTATATATAATAGGTGTCTACATTAAATACCTAGACCAATAATTACCTAAATGAAAAAAGTATTTAGTATCGGTTTTCACTCTCTTTTAAAAAATATTCGAAAGATCTAAGATAATGTTAGATTAATTATTGCCAAAGCCTCCTTACTGAATATCCTCGAGCCTGCACAACAGTAAATGTTTTTCGTATGACACGCTGCTATAACTTCTACGCTATCTCACTGTATCTAAACTATTTTGATAAATAAGAATGGGTTTAAGATGCGGAGATTAAAGCCTGTCCTTGAAATTTATAAAGTCGTACCGCTTCGCTAACAGATGTCCAAGGTCAAAATTTTTATAACTGTAAAGGTGAGGTACCTTATTATAATGAAAACTTCGAGACAACAACAGAGCGTTCATTGTTCAGTAAACATTTGGATTAATACCCTATTCTTTCAAACTGGGTAGCTCCAATTGGAAATTAAGCCGAGACAATGCCGTAACGTTCGACCTATTTGAAATTTTTGGCTTCTAAGTTTAAGCATGTTTACCATTTTATTCCTTCTTTTTACTTCAAAAGTTTCTAGGTATATAGTTCTATGTTCAGATTAAGTATTATTACTGACGAATTTATATTATTAGTAATCTTTTCATTGTTTACACTTATTATGAGCACTGTTTATTATTATTCTATCAGTACTATTTTATATATTACTGTTACAACTACTAGAACTTTTGTTGGCATAGCCCAGGTTTTTGTCCGCACTTGGAATATTTAAGCTTTTATCAGCTTTTTACTTTTAAGCGTGTCACTATTAGCTAAAAGATCCATAGAAGTTAATTTTCTGGTAATCTACGTTTAGTTTCGTCTGTAAAGTAATCTTCCAAGTTGAATTTTAACCCCCTCACTGAGGCTAACAAATTTTCTTTGACTCGAAAGTATTTACCAGTTAGAAAAAAATTCAGTTTTATAACCACAAAATGAATACATAAAAAAATTGTCATGATAATCTTTTTCATTAAAAACAAAGAGAGAAGTTCTTTAAAAAGCGTAAGCGAAATAGTGGCAGTAAGTTTCGCAAAAATGTGTAAATGCACAGGTCGAGATTAAATATGTAACCATCCTAGACCGAAAGAGAGAACCCTGGGGGCGGGGCTTGATCCACGACCTCGGGTGTTTGCGACACGCTGTCAACCGCTGAGGTACGGACAATAATTTTTAATGCCAGCGTAATGGTTGACGCATATACAACAAGGTTTTAAACAAAAGATTAAGAAGGGGCCTTTTCCCCTCTGGGTGAGGAGCTCATAATCGGGGCCTGGCCGGCAGTGGTGCTGGCTAAATTCTCCAGATGGCCTCGTGGCTTGTGCCTAAGCTGCCTCTCCCGGTGGTGATTTTTAGCAGTTTTCCATCACACTAGGTCAGATGGTGGGAGCCCTGGCCCGATATTTTCGCTTTTTCAGTCCTTCGGGGCAGGCATTATAGCTCGTCAAAGAGCGTACACTGGTGTTCACTCGTGCCCCCATCCCGTGCAGAAGAGGGGAATTCAGATTAAGCGGCCAAAGGTCTTAGAAAGAAGACCAACTGGGGTACGCCAATGCTAAAAAAAAAGAGAAATTTAATGTATTATATTAAAAAGAAATATTCACTCAATATCCAATCAACAATGATTTATGAACTAATTTAATATTTTATTTATTGATATTTTAAACCTAAAAAGACCGTATCGGTTAATCTTTTTATCCCTCTTTGTCTCTGAATTTTGTTTTTTAATTTATTTCTCTATTATTAACTTTAATTTGAATATATACAAATTTTTATTTTTGTTCCTATCGTTCTTATTATTTTTTTTTCTAATTCTAATAATATAACTGCAAGGTAAAGACAATTATTTGGAAGGAATTAAATTTAAGCCTCTTTCACTTTTAAGACTTTATTGCCTAGAACTAAGAAATATATTCGGAATATTTTTTTAAAAAATAATATAACTGCAACCTTGCGCTTACACTTTTTACAAAAGTTTTAAAGCTAGGTTACCAACGATAATTTTCATCGAGAACAAGGAATAGCTTATCTGGTGTGCATTATGCTTGAACACCTTCAGTAACTACTAGCTATTTTTTTTATTCATTATGTGAAAATTCAAAAGGTATATATAACTATACATCTTCTGCTCACAATTTAAAGGAAATTTACAGCGTTCACAATCCACAAAAGCTACATTTCGTTGTCTACAAAACAAAAATAATTTCATCACTGTAACGTTGCACCAATTAAGTCGTACTATCGGTTACAAAGAACTCGCTCAATTATTCCCAAAGCTGTGGTAAAAAGGTTACAGAAACACGGTTATGCACAAATAAAAAGTAAACTTGTTAATTTTTTTAAAGAAAAGAAAAAACTTTTATAGTAGACTAAAAAACTACGTAAGTGACTGCAAGAATACTTTTTTTTTACCCAAAAACACCACAAAATTACGCAAAAAAAGTATGACATCCGACGAGATCATAAGCATTACTCTGGGTTGACATTTATGATAAAATGATTTCATTGTTTTAGATACAAAGCATACTACAAAAGAGTACCGCTTAGTGATCAACTGAACACGATTGAAGATACGCACAATCCTTTCAGGTGCATCTACATTCAAGACCAGTTCATAAAAATGCAACAACACTGCCCGCCTGGCCGCAACCCTTGGCTTAAGGAATGTATTATATGGCGGTGTGGACTTTAATATCGATATATGCGCTCAAATATTTTTCTCATTGTTACTTGTTTTAATAGGTTGCGCGAAGTAAAAAAAAAAAAAAAAATTAAGAGTTTTTCGTTTCTTTTGTAGTTACTTTAGTTTTTTAAAGTTATTTATTATATCTGCTATCCGTTATACAACTTTTCCAACTTATAACTTTTTAATTCATACAAAAAAAAGCTCTTTTTTTAATCTTCACCCCCAAAATGTTTCCTCAGGAGCAGCCAGACAGGTCGTTTTTCATTACTCACACTCTCTTTATTTTATTTTCTAAATATAAATATGTCAAACTGCATATATATTAATTATTAACACCAGATCTGGAAGTAGGTGCCCCTTCCGCGGATGGGACTTTTACTTTCCCACAACTGGTCTTTATGTTTATATCTCATAACGTTTCTATAAAATTTATGGAACTGCTTGCACTGTTTAACACAAATTACAGCAAATTATAAAAAAATTTGGAGAAAGTTTATAATTTTGTTTTGCCTTCTTTATATTATTGACCTTTTTCTGGTGAAGAGTATTCTGATCTTTTACCTCAAGTTACTCTCATCCGCTCTTATATACAATTTTTTAAAGAGTGTGACGTTTGTGTAAGTTTTATACATGTTTGCGCTACTTTATATTTATTTTCTAAATAAATAAAGCGCTATAGGGAGAGTTTAGAAGACTCTGTTCTAATTGTTTTTGAAGAACTTTTAGGATGCAAACATCCAAACGGTTTAGTTCTAAAAATCTAAAGATTGTTATTTTCTCAGCTAGTTACTATTGTTATAATATTGATATAAAGTAAATAAAAATAAAATAATAGTAACTTTAGTAATAAATAAAACGGTAATAATACTTATAAACTACTACTTATCAATTTAGGTATTAAATAAAATTAATAATAGCGCCTAAGCCTACGGATATTCGAGACCATCCAGCACTTATTATACCCTCTCTAGGCCTCGCTTTATATGAGGTAAACATACTCCTACACTAATATTAATATTTATTTTTTTCTGTAGTTAGAAAGTACCAAACAAGTTAACTTTCCTCATATAAATTTGCGCCTTGTGGGTTACGAGCCCTTAACAAAGTTTCGGGATCTGAAATCGAACATGATAGGTCCACCAGCTTCTACCGTTGCACTCCCGCTTCTGATAAGCATGCCCATACCGCCGAACTTTTCCTTAAGGAAAGTTCATTTCTCTCAAAGGCACGGTGGTCCGGATCGGATCGGTTCGGCCCCTTGTTCAAAAAATGGCATTTCTGTGCACTTCCTGCGAGACGACGCAAGTTCTGACTTTATCTGAAGGGAAGTACGATGTCCCGAGAAGTTGTTATATGGAAAGCTCCTCCCGGTTGCCGTCGTAACATTAGCGTTTCTCTTAGGATGCCGCGGGTACCAGTGCCGCTCCAGAAACTTTACGCCACTACACACTTCTGGGGATGTGCAGACCATTGACTCTCAAATAATAAAGTACCTCGTCTCTTTCCGTTCATTTATCACAGAAACGTCACCACAACGTCTAGAATCCAAGAGATTTTACAGAGCGAGGGCGATGACAATGGCCGTATCCCGCGCACTCTGGAGTGCGAGCTTACTTCCGACCTCGTTGGGTCGTGCATACCCGTGAGCCTTACCTTCACGCTATAATAGTGAAACGCCATAACTTTTTGAGTAACAGGGCGACGTCGTTGCCGTTAGCGGCGAGGTTAAGGTCATCAGTTCTAACGAAGGAAAGGGAAAAGGAAAGCAGAATACCTTTCTGATCTATTTATCGGTCAATGCCGTGGAGAAGACCGCGTGCATTGGGGAAGGTAGATCTCGTGGCTTTGGTGTCTAATAACTTGATAGCTAAGAACATGTGACGTAGACGGCCTGGCAGATTTCACTAAAGCGGATATGTACGCCATCTCAGAAATCCAAGAGCAGCCTGACGTTCCTCTGAATTTTTATACACTTCCCGTCTTCGTTACCGCCTTTGTTTGTATTTGAAGGTCTTTCGCTTGATCGTGCACTCGCTCTGCCCAGCTATTTACGGACATGAGCTGGTCAAAGCAGGATTGGTTCTCTCTTTATTTTCCTCCGACCAGAAATATGCGGATGATGCTAATAAAATTGCAGGTCCGCTTTTCCACCTGTTTCTTTTATTCTTCTATCATTCCCTCCCTCTTTCAGTGCGAGGCGACCCGCACGTTCTAGTAGTTGGGGACCCTGGCTTGGGAAAAAGTCAGCTACTCCGCGCTGTGGCCAATGTCTCCCCCCGCGGCATGTTAAGCTCTTTATAACTGACCTTTTAACTGTTGTAGTCACTGTATTTCAGTTATGTTTGCGGTAATACGGCGAGCGCAGCGGGGCTAACTGTGACTCTTGTGCGGGAGCCCGGCTCCAGCGAGTATGCTCTGGAAGCGGGCGCTCTTGTTCTTGCGGATCAAGGCAAAAGTTATATTTCAGCAAATATTCATGTAAACTATACTGATACTTTCAGGCATCTGTTGCATTGACGAATTCGACAAAATGGGCCACGAGCACGAGTCTTTACTGGAAGCCATGGAACTCCAGAGCGTGAGCATTGCCAAGGCCGGTGCGCCTTCCTTACTTCCGTGCTTTTGTTTTCCTTGATAAGGTTATAGACACCCTTAACTCTATCAAACGGAGCAGGGATTGTTAGCACATTGCCAGCGCGCGCGTCTCTCGTGGCCGCCGCTAATCCTGCAGGGGGACATTACGATAAAGTCTTTGTCCCTACTGGCGCCTTCTTAAGATACGACTTACTTTTTCTTAGCGAAAGACGGTCTCTGAGAATCTGAAGATGTCTAGCGCGTTGCTTTCTCGTTTTGATCTTATTTTCATTCTTCTGGATAAACCAAACGAGCAAATGGACCAAGTGGGACTTGCGACTAGAATTGTTTTCTTTTGTTATACTGGTTGTTACTAAAGCTTCTCTCGGAGCACGTTATGTCCTTGCACAGAAACAAGAGTAGTTCGTATGTTGCCCGAAGCAAACGACCGTTCCAGGAAGGAGAAATATTCCCGCAGTTCCTATCTTTACAATGATATAATGACAAGCTTCTCACCGTCCCTTTTTTTTCCAATAGAGTCAGTTTGTTGCGTCGCTTCTCGCTCCATGACCATGAAGTGGTTGATCATATCCCGAGTATTCTCTCTTACTACTATTCCTTCTCCATTCTTCTTTTCTTAAACATACCACTGCTCTGCTTCTTCTCTGTAAATGTATAAAGAAATTTCTTTTTATTGCAGGCTCGATTCTACGGAAATATATACTGTATGCTCGTAACTATTGTCACCCACGCTTATCACGGAGGCTCAAAAAGAAATTCAGGTGAAATACTGTTTTGAACACGTGACTGCTCTTTTACTATTTTCAAGTTTCCTCTTTTTTGAATTACTTCTCTTATATTCGAGCTCTTCTGCATGCTTGATTTATCTCGTTAACGGGCTTTTTAATAAAGGAATACTACTTAAAACTGCGCCAGAATTGCCCACCGCTTGGCGGTGCTCCCATCACTACCCGCCAATTGGAATCAGTGAGAAACACGCACCTATAATAGACTTACGTCCGCTATACTAGCTTTGCTTTAGCTGATTCGTCTTGCAGAGGCTCGTTCCCGCGTGGAACTTCGGGAAACTGTTACCTATCAGGACGCGCGTGACATTATCGAGGTCGCCTTATTCCGAAAGCTTCCGTGCTTAGCATTGGTTGGGTGACGCTAAGTAGATTATGGACCATACCTTGTTGAATTCCTGCGAACGCGAGCTCAACTACGGATTCACGTGCTCTCCATTTCCAATGGCTGGCACGGGCCCTCAGAAAAACAAGCAGAAGGCCAAAAGGCACAGTTCCTCTGAACCACTTGGCGTATGTGGCCCGATTTTTTTGTTTGCTGATTAGATTTATAGCGGAGCTAAGTCGTCAGGCTAAGGAGAATCTGAACTCGCTATTTACGTTAGAGCAACTCAAGCAGACGGCAGGTAAGTAACGATTCTGTCGTTTGCGTAAGCCTTTCCGCTATGCGCTTTGGCTTTCGTAGGCTCTTTATCTCTGCACTTGGAAGGCTTCGAAGAGTTTGTCGGGCACCTGAACCAGGAGGGATATCTACTTAAGAAGGGGCCGCACATATATCAGCTGCAGACTGTATGACGAGTCCACACGCTTTTTTTCCTTTGAGTCTCGCTTCAAACGCACGAACTATATTTTTAATAAATGCAGCGGTTATATAGGGTAATTGCTGGTTTACATAGTTACAATACTCCAAAACCAATTCAGCGAGCTCAGTTGTTGACTTGGTTGGCAAATTTTTCATTTTATAAAGTAGTAGCTGTAGCCACATAAGGTTTCTCCCAGCACAAAGCCAGTGTACCTGTGGGTTTTTTTAGTAAGGCAACAAATATATGTCACTGGCATACGTCTTTGTAATCTACTGCCATCGGTTCCCATTTGCCAACGCTTCACAGCACACATATTGAGGGACTTTACGTAAAATTTAAATGGTTATTGAAGTATATACACTTCGTATCTTTACTTAAACTTTTAAGTTTTATATACGTTTTTTATTTATAAAAATGAAAGCTTATATAACGTTTTTCTAGCTAACAAGCCCCCAGCACTAGCCGCCAGGGATTCTAATAAAGGTTTAAGAACTAAGAGGTGCTAGGTTTTTTAAAAGACTTTCGCTTTTGGGTCTCAAGTGTGGCACCGGCTTACTATGACTCTACAACTACAAACCCTTTGTATTTAGAGTAATAAATAAGTATGCTTGAAGGTCATTATCGTGATACTTCCGCGGGTTTCCTGGGCCCGACGCGAAAGGAAAGGTCACTCTCTACTAGTTTGCTACTGCCCTCAAGAGGGCCAATGACTATTGCCTGCTTACATTGCAGTTACTTACCTATAAATTTGAAAGCCTTGGTTTGGTGGCAAGCTAACTATAAATAGCTAGTACGTAGCGAACAGATCATAGTCGGAAATCTTTCAGTTTCGCCAGAGTAATAATATTCGGACAAATGTTTCTAAATCTACGTCAAATATATACTATACATAGTAATTAGGCCGGCCTCCTGTACCATAACACTTTCCCCTTAGAAAATAAAAACTGGAAAAATTAATTATTCTTTACACTTGACTGAGGTGCTTATTGATGTTTTCCCGTGGTAACATGCGGTCCAAATCCTCGTTCAGTGTTAAAACAGCGATAGGTAACTTTTGAGTTAAGGAAAGGGTGAACTTAAAAAATTGTACACGCGGCATAGTTTAAGGACTGCAAGTTTTTTAAGTAAAATGATCTACAAGGCTGCTCTGAAACTTATGTGCTCTTTCTGCCAATTCGTCACCCGCAGGGGGCGTTTAAGAGTTATTTGTATTAATCCAAGGCATAAACAAGCTAAGAAAAACAAGTACTTAAAAAGATTTGTTTATATCTTACAGTTAGCTGTACGTATAAAGTGCTCTATTACATGTTTACTTTCCTTTACATCCGTTTAAAGCGCTACTATTTATATACAAAAAAAAAATATGAATTGTAAGCATTCGCTTAAGCGGTCATTATTATTTGCCTATCACTGAGTTTATTATTTAAATCATAATTTATAATTGTTACTAATTATTTTATTTTATTACTCTAACTTTTTGTTATAAGATACTGAGATTGCACTTCAACGTGGTCACTGCAATTCATTATGTACAAAGCAAGAAGTTGTACTCTTTTGTAGCCTCTCACTCGTTGAAACTATACATTAATAAAACTAATTCTTTTTATTTTGACAAGATACCATTATAGCAACTGCTCGCAAACTTCATTTTTTTTTTTTGATCGCTCCGTTGGGCACTTACTCTTCTATATAACCTATACAAATTAACGTGTATGTAATTTTGTAATATACTTGAGCACAGTTGTAAAAGTATGTTAGCCCCTGAGTGCCTTTTAACAAGTTATTAAATATATTTCCTATGTAAGTTATCATATGGAACTTTCAATTATAATTTTATAAATTATGTGGCAAGGCGCTCGCAAAACTCTAGATTTTTTTTCAACTTTTAAAGTGCGATAATTTGGTAATTGGGATTTTTTTAAAAAACTTTGTAGGCATTTAATTAAACTTTATCGTTTGTAAACTTTAAGTTAAAGAGTACATCACATTTTGCTTCGACACTTCACTAGAACAAACTCCTAAAATGCTACTAATAACTTAGGTACATATTGGAGCGAAATAAAAGGGCTACAGCACTTTTTAACAGCCAAAGCGTTAATTTCTCACCATTTACTCCTTCAGGAATTGAAAACTTATACTAAAAACCTCAAAGTAACGTATCGACCTTATTTAATTGAAATTCTTGGGGCTTTTTATAAGTAATAATCAAGTGAGAAAGTTACTGTGGTCTGTGCACTTAACATATTAGCTGAGCTATATACAAATACTTTGCAAATGTACAACTTTTTTAATCTTGTTTACTATTCTTCTCAAGTTATCCCTTAATAACGCAGTACCTTCTGGCCATTACCGCTACTATTTAGGATTTATGGCGATTTTAAATTTATTAAAATGTTTATGTATTTATAACACTGGTTCACTACAGGCGGGATTTTACATACATCTACCGCTTCTTATAATATCCTCTACCAAGAGAAGGTGCAAAAGCCACAACATATTTAACGAGTACACGCATAGGGTTTAGTAAGATCCATATTAGCTCACAAACAGATTTTTTTTAAACGAGAGGGCAGCAAAAAATATACTAGCAATAGTTGAATCCTATACAACTTACGCTAAAAGTGCTGGTTTAACTGTTCTAGCTCATAGTTAATATTTTACAGCATCTTCACGGTTAATAAATACTTAAGTGTGGTTTTTCATTGTAATTCGATAAAGGGTTTAAACCAGTTAACAGAGCGCTAAAAATCAGAAAAACTCATTATAAACTACTAAGTGCATGCGCCAATACACGATCAGCGGAAGAAGCATCCTACCAGTCTATATTATAACTCGTATATTTAAACACCCGATATTACCCTTTAGGTTCCAAAGCAAAGCTATAAGCAACAAAGTATATTTATATAACGCCAAGACCAAAAAAAAAAATTAAGATAGAACTTTTAAATTTGATGACCTAAAAAAGTTAAAAAATAAAACATACAAACTATAAATTTGCAAAACCTCAAGACGCAATTCAACATTTACAATAAAATCTTTTAATCTTAAGAAGCCTAAAATAAAATTTTTAACATTAATTTTAAAAATTTATTAAGAAACGTGAAGCCTTTAAAGATATACTTCCTTACTATAAAAATTTAGGAAATTAACACTGAAGTAACCAATATTATATAAACAATAAGGTTAGGGAACACAATGAAGGTTACAAGATGGCCGGTGAAAAGAAGAGGAATAAGAAATTCACAAACTAAACTACCAACAACCTTAAGTGGTGAACGTACTAAAGAACTAACATCTAAGCCTCAAGCTGATATATTCAGCATAATTTGAACGTTATTACAAAAAAAATATAAAAATATAGTTGAATACTGAAACTCGACTTAACGCGGAAGAAAGAATACATGCTAAACAATAATGAATAATTAAATAAAAAAATTAAGAATGATACTGTAAAAGTTTAAAATAGCGAAAGCAACGCTACACAACAAAAATATGATTCAGCGATCCAATAGATAATAAAGATGCAACTACGAGTCAAAGAAAACAATTTGACGAACGGCTAATAAAAAGTAAGTTTATTGATAAACAAATATAGTTCTTTGTAATTATTGCAATTCTTAAAAAAGACAAAGACATGACAGTTAAAGACCTGCGCCCAAAACATTTAAGGTTTATTAGAATCCAGTTACAACAACTAGGAAAATAACAAGGTTAGTGATAATAACGTAGAACAGATAACCTTCAACGAAGCAAAACAAAACCATACAAAGCATGATATTACACGTTACAGCATTTTACTTTAAAGACTTGGTTACAGCCTTAAGGTGACATTAAAAAAAAAAGGAAGGACTCTTACCAAAATACTGAAACTGTGCAGAGGTTATTAGGGCTCTATCCAGTTACCAACAACTTATTTCTTAAGTGGGCAATTAATTTTTCATTGCTGTGGGGTTTCGGTTAGAAAAAAGGCTTTAATAGTAGGATAATTAAAATCGCGGTTAATATAAAGTACAATTTAAGAGTTGCGTAAACATATTATATGAATTAAATTCGTTTTATATAATATATAATACGCCCCTGCGCAAGAATTGCATTGAAAACCTTGAAAAAACGTAGTCCAATAAGAGATAAAAACCCGGGTGTAGTGAGATGTAATTTTCAGAATGTGTTGTGCTGGTTTTCTCTCCCTTTTATCACTCATAAGTCAGGTGCTATATTAAAAGTTGCATGCGAAGGGGGTTTGAGAATTGATTTGCTCTACCAATTTGCCTCATTTTGTTATTTCTGCTTTTTATATTTTGTGATTTTTTATATTACTAAAAAATTTCAGAACGATCATTAATATTATTAAATCAAAGTCAGTAACGCAGTTTTAAATATATATTTAACTAAGTATTTAAAAAGTGAAATATATATGTACCTGAACTACTGGGAACACCATAATGTACTATAAACAAACCTTTAAACTTTACTGCCAAACAAATTTTAATGTTAGAAATTCCATGTTTGCCAAATTTTGTTAACTATATAAATACAACGAAGAGAACACTGTAATAAAAAGAATATAAGAAATGACTTCTCTATTATCTCACTAAACTTTCACTGCCTTCCTAAAAAGGTAAGATGTTTGGAGTATGCTCGTCAAGTGTCAGCCCCTTTTGAAAGTTTTTAAAGGCAGGAATCTGCCTTTAAGTGTGAAACAATTCGTAAGGCGTATAATCTGCCTGCCCAAAAAGTACATTGCTCTGCATATTATGCTCTTCGGAATCCGTTTACTAGATTTTATTGATTATCTTAACATGTTTATCACTGCAAACATCTATAATTAAAATATGCTCTCTCGAAGGGCTTATGGCAGAATGAACATTTTCTTCTCTTTGACCTGGCCTTTTATTTTCTTATTAAGTAATTTTAAGTTTCTATAATGCGATGACAGTTTTACGCTTGAGAAACATGTTGTAGCTGATGACGCAGCCCTAAATGTTCTTGCACGCAACTAGATTTAAAGCGAGGTCGATAGGAGGGCCACACACCACACGCTACCCAAATCAGAGAAAACGCTGGTAGT